GGGCTTTGGGGAGGGGGAGGGAGCTGCAGTCGTGTGGGGTGGGCGATGACGTGGGTGGGAGGCTCAGTCCTGGCGGCCGTGCTACGGGGGATAAGCTAGGGGCATATCTGGAATTCTTTACTTCGGTTTTTTTTTTGAGCAAATTCTTTACTTCGGCTGAGGGTGCACGTTTTTTTTAGGGGCGGCTGAAGGTGCAGGTGAAGTAGTCTGGTTGTGTGATGGGCTGATGGCTCTGCCTCTATGGTAAGTGGGCCTGGGGACAGGGAGTTTTAGCTCCCAAGCTCAGTAAACATTAAATTTTCCCCTAAAAAGCAAAAATTAAATTTTAATAATAAAAAAATACTGAAAAGTCATTTTGCCAAACAGAATTGAGTGTCCTGCATTCATATACATTTAGGTGAAAAAATGACATTCGTGGTGCTGTGTAAAAAAAAATATGTGCTCCGAAAAGGTTATTTGTTAAGTTTTTTGGGGCACCATTTGTTTCTCCGAGTGTTATGAATGTCAGTTCATCACATTTTTTTTGCATGTATGTACAACACTTGAACATGTTTGTTGTAAAAAAAACCAGTTTTTTTGTTGCTATTTCTTTTAAATTTGTTGTTCATCCATCGCTTATGACTCAAGCTGGTGACGCGGATGGTGCAGCCATCAAAGCAACATTTTTTTTGCTGCCGTTGTAGCCAAATATACCATTCTTTTTTTTGCCAGGGTGACAACCCTGAAGTTAGTTGGAAACAAACATACCGTCTGACCATGAAGATATTATTCACATACCTAATTCATACTAAATTTTCTTTAAAAAAATATTTATCCATGTGTATTTAAATATGTATTAAAAAATTATAGACTATAGACACATGTCTTAGGGGTTCCATGTCTTAGTAGCATGGAAGCATTTAGGAGACAGGAGCACCTCGTATTTTCTCCATTTCAGTATCTCTATTCCGGACTGGGATGGTGATTAGTCAACAAAGATATAAACCCTCTGTCTCATAATATGAAAGCGTTAGTGTAAAAAATGCTCTTATATTACGGAACAGAGGGAGTATTTTTTATCCCCGCAACCTCATTCATCTTTTTTTTAATGAATCAAAGAGGTTGTAAGCTAGAAAAACTAAACCCGTATACAACACCGGTGCTAACACATGTGGCTCAAGGAAAAAAGTTGTTTCTTTATGACACTGGTTTGCGCAGGTGCTTTGGAAGGGGTATCAGAAGCAAAGTTTAGCTTCCTAATGCTTAGGGGAGATAACCGTTATCCTGATTTCACGGGTGCTACAATCAATCGCTATTAAGCACCCATGCGAAGCACTCTTTTTAGAGGAAAATGGCTTTTGTCCCGGACCCGCTTCCATTTCATCGAAATAAAACCATACAGATATGTGAAGCACTCTGCGTTGTAGACAAACTTTATTTTTTGATGTAATAACATTCTCTCTTCAAGCACCGGTGCATAAGCATCCAACACTATACACGGCCTAAGTGTGCTGCTCACTTTGGCTAACACTTGTCATTGCCCATTGGTGACACTTTTTTCCTTCGACTGTATAGTACTCCCTCAATATCGTGTTAAAAAACATATTATATTTTCATACGGAGGGAGTACTTTTCCATTGATTGAAAACCCTCGGAGAAAATGATCACATAAACAAAGAAATTATACGGTATGAAATAGCAAAAAAGCTGACTAGTTCGATTCTAAAAAAACTGATAATAGATATTTTATTCTGCAAGAGATATTGAGATATTCAATATGTGAATCAGATTGGATTTTGACACTGACGGCTTACGTTGGTTGACATGGGAGCGTTTGCCGAAAGCTCTCTGCAGTCTGACGCATGAGCTGATCCGCGAAAAGGAAACGTAACAGAATCCTCGAGACGTCAGAGTGCCGAACGAAGCATATATGCGAACCTCGTCACTCGAAGCTAATACCAGAAGTAAGTTTCACGCGTAACGTCGACGCGAACAGAAGCTTCAGCTTGAATCTGTCGGACAGTCCCGGCTACATGCATGCCAGAATCAGTTCGGCGTTCTGATCCATCTCCCGCTCGATCTCTCCAAGAAACCATGTCGATCCATCGATCGATCGACCAAGGAGGTCCTGAATATCTCTTCACTCACGCACGAGGAAGATAGGGAGGTACTGTGCTACCGTGAGTGTGACACAAAGAAGATGAAGAACTAACTTGGCCTGCTTGCCGGCGGCTCCGACGATCCGGGCATATATGGTGGTTACTTTTGATTGATTGGTTTACTCTCTCTTTTTGCGGGAGTGATTGATTGATCAGATTTGCTAGAACTCATCTAAATGAGATTTAATTTGGTCTCATTCATCTTTTATAGCCATTGGATGTGGTGCTATAAAATGCGTGTGTGCTGACGTGGGTTGTATCCGTTCTTATTTTCCAGGTGAATGAGACTAAATTACGTCTCATCTAGATGAGTTCTAGGTACTCCCTTGATTGATGTACCCGGACGAGACGTCTGGGATTCGCTTCTATTCGACCGCTTTCGGTGTCAGTCACGCGTGTGTGCGACTGTGCGTGTACGCGCAACACTGCCCTTCGTTGTCATGGATGAGCCACTCTCCAAGTTGCTAGTAGAATTCTGAGGTTGGGTTCGGTTGACTTTTGTTTTCGAGAGTAGAATACACCACTACTCCCTCTCGTTTCATAATATAAAATTATTTTTTAAACAGCCTTTCGCCCTGCTGTATTAATAGAGCAACCATCCGATACATCTGCAAGACCATTGCTGAGGCAAACACCACAATCAAGCTCAAAAAAAAACCCAAGAGAAACAAATGCCGGCAGTGTAGAATTGATGTAAGTGACGATTTCCTGTAACTGTTGCGGCCTCCGAAGGATTCTCACCACGCTCCTATGCCTCTGAATTGCTGTGTGCCAAGCAACACATTCAAGAAGGACTGTGGCAACATCGACGCTGTTGCCCGAACGGATCCTAGGATTTCTCCCGGTACAGGGGGGAGTGGGGGAAGGGGTACACCCGACGCCCTTCAAGAAGGGAGGCGACGCCCACTGGCGTCATCGCGCCGGTGCCAACAAGATCCAACAGGGATTTCTCCGACCCCCACACGGCCACAACCCCGAACCAACCATCGGCTCCACCATACTTGCCGCCCACCAGTGTGTGCCAACACAGTCTTAAAGTCCTCGTCGACGTCTCACCATGGCAAACGCTGCGATGTCGGCCGGACCTAGACGAAACACCCGTAGACGGGGGACGACAGTACCGTAGCCACGTGGGAGGGAACAACCTCCACCGGCTCAAGCGGTAGTAGACCGGACATATCAATAGGAGCACACCAGGCCAACAACCTAGCCGGGCCCAGATTGGGCCCGTGAAGCTCCCGCCGCCGCACTGCAGCAAATGCGTCACTGTCGCCATCGCCCCCATTGCGAGTCGCTCGTCAGTCCAACAGGAGGCGACACGCCGAAGCCCATATCAGCCTATCCTGATCCAGATCGCACCCAAAAGGGCCCAGATCTGGGTCTACAAAGGAGTGCCCGCTAGGTCTCGCACGAAACCGCCACCGCCGCTAAGTGGCTGCGCCTTCACCTCGCCACCACCCTGGCCTTTGCCTGAACGCCGGAGACCGAGCTACACCACCACCAGGTCACGCCATCCCAGGCTGAGCACCCGCGATGGGAATGAAGCCAGGGCGCCCGCCAATGCCGCACCTTGGAAGCCCTCCACGTGACCACCGGAGCCAGGGGCCATCGCCGCCAGCCACCAGTGACGTGCCACCGTGCCCTTTGCCAGCACCGTGCCGCCGTTCGCGGAGCCCGTCCCGTGCCTAGCCCCGACGAACGCGGAGGAGAAACCGCCCCGCCGCCACCGCCAGCAGGGCTTCACCCGCCAGTGCGCTCCGGCGGCGGCGAGGGAAGGGGGGAGGGGAGGAGGCTGAGACTGGCGACGACTAGGGTTAGCTCCCCATCGCTCGCGGGAGCGACATGGGGTGCGGGGGTTGGTGTGTCCAGGTTGTTTGCAATATAAGAGCGTTTTGACAATATACTCTCTCCATCCCATAATATAAGGGCATTATTGTAAAAAACGCTCTTATATTATGGGACGGACGGAGTAGTAATTGACAGGAGTGTAGTTCTTTTTTTCAGGGACAACTAGGGCAATTTCACCTCTTCTTTTTAACCATCCATGTTTCGTTGACACTCTCTATTTCTAAGATTGCATAAGATCAATACACGCTCTGGTTGGCCACTAGTATGGATCTGATCCATGGCATGGAGCAAAAAGATGCAATATTTTCTTCATACTTGGTTTCATGAGCACGAGAATTTCAAGTCATACTGTGACGAACTCGTACGCAATCATGAGGC